GTCATCAGCCGGTCATACCCAATCTCAAGGGGTGAAAACCCCGAGATTTGAACCTGGGACATTTGGTCATTGAGTTCAATACTCTACCACGGCGCCATGGGTTCCTTGCTTTGTCGGTTTCTTGCTTTGTGTGGAATCTTGTGTGGTGATACATTGGTTTGGCTTTCATTGGCGGGACCCCACCCTATCGTGGCCACACACCCTAATCAATACTGCAATCACTAGCACATATAATTGCCAAAGACGCCTGCCAGAAGTGAAGTGTTCCCAGCCCTGATGCCTATCCTGCAATTTCGCCCTGTCCGAGCGAAACTTCGTTTTTGTGGCAATCCTACTGGGAGCTCTTCGTGTTTACCTTTCTTATTTAGTATGTGCTATGGAGGGTCCATCTAACTGTCGAGACATTTGGACGTCTAGAATTAGCATCATGCCTGCTATCTGCTACATGAAGAGTCTCAGATATGGCCAATCTGCATGACTTGGCCCCTGAGACTGAGATCTGGGCTTGTGAGCTTCACCTCGTATTGCACAAAAAGGACAAAATGGTGGGGTATAATCGGTTGAAAACGCAGCTGTAACTCTCCCTCTCGTGAGAGCAAAAGGATGAACATGAGGTTGATACCGTATTGCTGAAGCTGAATGTTGATCTCAACTTGCTACTTTAGAACCTACTTACTTGCCAAAATTTTATTCTTCAGGTCATGATGATTCTCCGTAATAGTCTGAACTGTTCACCACAACGGGCCTTCTCCGCTGCTTCTTTGACTGTGCGTGATGGTAGGACCCCTCTGCTCACTTCGGTTCCTTTTAGCATTGCGAGCAAACTTTGCAAAAGGGTCATGGTAAGTTGGACGGAGACCGACAACTTCATTTCAAGCCTAGCTAACATTATCGGCCAGCCCTCCGGCAGGTCCGATATGGAAGGATTTGAGGTGTGAACCCATTGCAGATTGATCATCGAGCTTTTAATTCTAAATTTTAACGAATTGAAATACTAATTCTGGCTGTGTTGGTTGCGTTCGTTCGATACATTTAACTGAGCCACACCCATGTGGCCTGATTTTAGGACAGAATGCAGTTGTTCCTTCTTTTTCAGTCTCATTGATAACAACATTGTCCGCTAAATGAAACTCATGTGGTCAAAGTCTCCAATTCTTTCGATGCGATGTTCGGGTAGGGTTGATCAATAACCGTGAGTGAGGCACACATTATCCCAAGATTTCATTCTGCGACCGTTCTTTTCATTTCCCTTGCAGATTAGCCTGAGCCAAAGCGTCCAAATAACGTTGTGCAGCAGTTACGTGGAAGGAAAGACGACTTTCCCCAAGGGATTTAACCCCTTGAAATTACAGTTTGATTAGGGGATGGGTAGACGAACATTCTTAAATTCTCCATTTGTTACACCAAGGTCGAATACATTTCACGAATCTCTAAAGATAATTGAAAAGAACGTAAATTGCAAAAATTAATGTGGAAAATAGCCGTCTAAATCTTTACATAATAAATATGAGCTTGTTCTTACTTCTTGCAAGTAGTATTTTCATAGGTGATTATAATATATCGTTTTTTAATGAAGTGGGCGTGCGTGGCCGACAAACGAATAGTTGGGTGCCTGTAGAGTTTGAACGCGGACAGAGCGTTCCACAGTGCGACAGCGCAGTTACTGAAAAAAGATTAAACTCGTCCATTGTAGTTTTGTTTGTGCGTAGTTTAAGCGATTGAACGCGTAAAGTGTGCATATTGGCTTGGGTGAAATATGGTTGGGGCCAAATCAACCATTTAAACCATATAGTATGCGGAATTTTTGTATGAGATCCCTTCTCTACTGCTTGTAGGACAACGGGCATAGCTTGATGACATACGGGGAATATCAACTTTTCCCCGGAGTGACGATCTCACAGAAAAGCACATGCGCGCGTCTCTAACACTGTATGGCACGAGCGTGTGTCTGACAGAGTCTGGCATTGGCCGTGGCCACAGCGCCGCCATCAGATCCGATTGGTCCACGTCTGCGAGAAGTTGCTTGCATTTTGTATTACTTTTTCTTTAAACGTATTGAAGAGAATAAAGCCAATCTGATGAATATAGTATAAATACACGCGGGTTTTCATTAAGAACGCTGTGCACGTTTTTAATACACTTTCATGTGGCCGATCATGCTCTCATGTGCAGTGTAAGCGTTGGTGCCACATCTAGGCAAACGAGCTATTCGTGTGCATTCTAAGTACCAGATTGGTCTACATAATTTGGCGACACAGTTTCTCAAATACGACGGCTAACGCGCACGCTGAAGTGAAGCAGATGTTGTTGATGATGAAACTGATGGAAGTTCTCACTGTCAAGCTTACCAACTCAGCTTCAAGCCAATCGATGGCGGCGGGTCGTTTACAATTCGTCGATCAAATTTTCAGCAGCATCAATGAATCCCTGTATGACTAGCAGGCTCTTACCACATTTGATTCATGGTAGAAACGATACGAGTTATTATCTATCAATCTTGCTGCCCAAGACGATGAACTGAAGGTGTGACTCCTTTTCTGAAAACTGGACTCTGCCGAGCACGAAACATATTCCATTTTTGTTCTGCCTGTGAACACGCTAGAAAACACTTTCGCGGACACGTTGAGGAGGTTGTCGTAGATTTTCAGTAAACAGTGGTCACTGTTCAACACTCCAGTCCAGCGCCTTCAACTGTATAAACGAACTCCAACGATTTCGAAATGTATGCGGGCTGTGTCAATCGCGATTGTGGAAGTTTTCAGCTCGATTCTCTCAGAAGATCAACTTATAAGCTCCATTTATATATGGCCACCAGTATTCCAAAGATGCTCACATATTAGTAGATAGGCGTACATCGATCAGATACAGGGCACACCCACCCCGATTTTTGATGTTCTGTGTGTTTGGGAACTCCCGAACCTTGCCACATGGAAAATTGTAATGCTACTAACTATGTTTCAGTAACAATTTTGTTCTTTTTAGGAAATTTTACCCGTAGACAGAGACTATCACAAAGGCCTTTTCTGCCTTATAAGGCGTCATCAGGTGGAGATACTCTACTCCACTGTAGCAACAAAAAGTGCTCAGACTCGTGTTTCGAACCCGCGTCTGTCCGGTCAAAGGCAAATGCCTTAGCCATTGGGCTATCGGGCTGGACGTCTTACCAGTTGTTGATGGGGACTATAGATTGGTAGATAGGCGTACGCCGATCAGATACAGGGCTCACATTTGCTCGTATGCTCACATATGCTGTGTCAAGTGCAACATAGCAGCTCACATACACTCAAATCGTCGGCTGCTGAAATTGAAAAGCTGATTAATCGTGAGCACAATTCTGCTATAATGTAAGTCATTTCCAATTCCTGCTCAGTTCATACCGTCGTAGCGACCAAGCCACATCCTGTTATGCCGTCCAAGGAAGCATCCAAGATCAATTCCTCATCATTTCTTTGTTGACACTGTGACGAATGGCATTTCAATCGAAATTGCACATGCCACCAACATCGCCCTGCAATATGCAACCAGGTGGGGCGCCATTATGAATTCTGACCATCAATATAAAATTATGGAACCGAGGCTACTGCCGCCACTTCTCGTTCCACGCACCGTTTTCCGTCCAAATGCAATTATATGAGTCTTTTGGCCACTATTCAGCTCACTGCTGTGGACCTTGGAAAGTACTGTTATATTTTGCTCAGCGTTCACATAGTCCACCTACCACTGGACACCATCTCAGACACCACTCTCCTCTCTGAGAAACTCTTGCATTCCCTTGGAAGACCCATGATGCAGCAGCCTGCCCATTCTGTCAAAATATGCTCCACGGCATGACGACTACTGTGATTTGCTTAGTCACAATGTCTGATCTCATCCTACTTGTTCTCGACTGCAATGAACAACTTGTTTTGGCCGATATGCTACTACCTGTTTTTTGCAGTCAAGTAGATTTTCCTGCTGGGCCTGGCGATTCTGCCAAGGATATTCTGCAGTAGTTCGCTCCAACGTTCCAAGGTGGCCTGGTTTGTTATACACAGGCTTAGGACGTGCTGCATCTGTGTCCTGAAAGTCAACCAGTCTTCCGTCCGAGGAGACCAGTCCGATATGCAACCTTGCAACTTTTCGATGCAGAATTGAAGCTTCTAGTGGAACTAGTTTTGATACCTGTATTCTATCCGCCTAGGCTGTTCCAGGCGTTGGTTAAAGAGTCAACAAGTTCGAGAGGTATTTGTGCTGATCTTTCCACTGACCTAAATGCTTCCCGCCGCCGAACTGCCTCCTAACTGTCGGTCCCCTTTTACCCTGCTGAGTGGTGGCGCTTGCTTTGCCAAGTTGGATCGGATTGATCATACTTGCAGATTGACGTCGCTCAGGACTCGTGTGACTTGCTGACGATAAACATTATATCAATGTAACAGGCTGCCTTGGGTGAAAAGACTGCCTTGGCTCCCTTCCTTGCCATCTACTGTCTGCACGTCAATCTTCTTCTGCCCTACACTCTTCTCACAAGGTAGATCCAGTGCAAGCCCGCTTCGAATTACTATCAGTAGAACCCGCACCAACGATGGCTGCATCAATGGCGATGTTGAATTTCCATGCATATTCTGCTTTTACCGGTTGAGTATTTTTCTCGCCTAACTTCTGTTCTTTATGAAAGTTAGTATCCAACACAACGCTCTTTCCTAAGCTATTTAGTACACAAGTGCTCTTTTAGGTCTTGTATTTCACGATTTAAACTCACGACTATCCTCTTGGTCAATAGTCTTCTCAGTCTTCCAGTCAGACATCATCAGTCCGGCCTCTACGTGTCGACATAGTGGACTGCAATATCTATGCACTGGAGCAGTTCTTTCTGTGCTTTCTACGATGGCTTCAACGATTAGTTTCCGAGGTACAACCCCTGAGACCCCTTATCTGCAACGCTCTCCTGGGTCGTTATGTCGCGTTCTCTGCGGGAGCGACTGCAGAGGGTAGCTACCCTGCCCCCGAGACTCAGTGCCTGTCCCCTGGTAAAATGATGACTGAGCAGAGTCTCTTGGCTAGATACTTTGATCAAATCCACTCCGCATATGGCGGCTTACGCAAGAGCCTGATGGCTGTCATTACTGCTTCCTTGCTGCAGGAAACCTTTTACCGGACCGTCTATGCGATAGAGCACATTCGGGTGAGTTAGTGCTCCACTCGAGAGCAATGGAATTCAAACTTGTATCTCCTACACTGATCTACTACTACTATTACTTTCATTGCCGTAATTTACGTTTTTACTCTTCCCTCTTATTCCTCTTCCGAGCTCAGCTTCGCAAAGGGGAGAATTCCCGGATCAAAATCTGAGAACTTATTGCTGCTCATCGGAACAGTTTTTTGTTTCCTCCTGATGTATCGGAATGCTTGGTCAGTTCTCCATGTTCAAAGCACTGACTCTCACTATCGATCAGCAATTTGAATGTCTGCTGAAATTGACAAAAACTGCGAGTGAAGAGAGCCACACGACGAACGACTAGCAGCACCGTGGTGAAGAAACGCAGCACCGGTGGCTGTCAGCCTATGAAGACATTCATACGAGGTCCGACGCAGCGAACAACTAAGACAGCCTGAGACCGAAGAGTTCAGCCACACATTCAAATCGCTGATCGATAGTGACATTCGATGCTTTGAAAAATTGAAGAGCCAGTCAAGCATTCCAAAACGTCAGCTCGAAGCAAGACTGTTTGGATGAAAAGAAGAACGTTGTCAGATATTCCCCCTCTCCCTTAGTTCAGTCAAGGCCGGAACATCTATATAGAGACGATCTATGGTCTTGCTTTATTCGGGATGCCACTGTTACTGTATGTCGATCGGTGTGTTAGCTAGTGTATCTACGCGGTAAGGAGGACGTATATGGCCCTCTACACAAAACATGAGGACAGCAGCCGTCCGCTATATATGTGTCTTTGAGCCAACTTCCAGTGAGTTTTATTGTAAGACTTGGGGTCAAAGTTTACGTTAGGCGTAAAATCAACGTTGAGGTAGTTGAGGTTTGTGCTAACGGTAGGTTTAGGGTATGAGGTAGGATAAAGCTTAATATTAGGACTAAGCCATGGGATTATTCCAGAGTCAGTGCACGGAAGTTTTTCCCCATCCTATAATTATGTGTTTGGCCAAATGCACTAATCAGCCAGGGCATTCCTATATTCGTGCCCTGTTAAGGGTGGCATATCACTAAGCCTTATCGCGTATGCTTCTACTTTCCGTTTACGCTTGTTAAGTAGTTGATAAGAGAGTCCCTGTGATGGAATCACCAAGGTGACCACTAGTCGATGTGACTAATGCTATATGGCCCCCTAAGATAGGGTCAGTGGTAAACGTAAAGGATTTCAGGTAGGGTAATGCTTAAGGTTTTGGTTTATGCTAGGATTAGTGCACGGGAATATTTACCATTTCTGGAATCCTGCACAGGGCTATATTCATTACTCGGCCGGGGCTTTTCTATATATGAGTCCTGTGAAGCATGCCGTATAATTACTTTGTATCGTATTAAGTGGTTGAAGACAGAAGCCCTATGATAAATGACTACACCGGCCACTGGCAGATGTGAATGAGACAGTGCTTTCCATGGGTTGTTCCCGCGATGTGTTGGCAGCACAGTTACATAGTCTTCCGCGTTGTACAGGCTGTCGTTAGAAGCCTCCAAAAGGCCTAGCAAAGGCATATAGTCGGTAAGAGGACACCTTCTGTTTGAAGGTATCTCGGTGCAAAAGTTGATTTGGGCTTGAACGACGGGGAGATCTTTGAGAATTTTGGTTAGTCACCCTTTGCTTTCAACTGAGGTTTGAGACAAAGAGTACATAGTTTTATGTTTAGGTATCCGGCAGACACAGGCAACGTAGTATAGCTATTTCGG